CTAATGCAAAAGCTGTGATGAGAAAATGGAATCTACACACCTGATGGGAATATTAATGCAAAACCATGACCTATAATTTTTCTTTCTTCAGTCTGGGCGTGCCAGAAACAATTGCAGCTCATTAAAATGGATCATGTCCTGACAGTCATGCATAATGACCAAGTCCCACAAGCCCCATGGTTTAAATGTTTGCCTAGCTGGTGAAGCCAGCAAGGTAAATGTTTAGACCATGGGACTTGTGGGACATGGACATTATCATAGAGCTGCATGGTCCTGCTTGACTAGACACAGGAAAGTGCAGCAAACCTCGAAGACCCTTTCTCTCTTTTAAACCCAGTGTTATCAGAAAAAGAGTGAAGGGAAAAAGAACAAACCCAAGAGTGCCAGTGTGGGTTGGACCTCTGGAGTTCATCTGGCCCATCCCCCTTTTCAAAGCAGGACCAACTTCAAAGTTAAATTCAGTTTGAAAGTTAGCTCAGGTGGCTCAGTGTTGAGCACTCACTTCCAAGGATGAAGATTTTACAGCCTCTCTGGGCAGTCTGTTCCAATGCTGCCTTGTCAGGGCTCAATCTGGAAGCCATTCACCACATCACAACAACATCTGGCTCTACTTTCTTAACTGCTTTTTTGATGCAAAGTGTGTGTTGGCACGTGGGATGCAGTAAGAATCAGTAGGGAAGGTGATAGCGTTGTGCAAAGACAATTCTTTTGCAAGGAAAATAGATCAGAAAGCAGTCCCACACAAGATGGAGTGAGAAGGAAGACACTGCAGTATTTTATTCTGACTCTGGTGCCTTTTTTCCGTAAGACACTTCCAGAACAATTCTTGAAGATATAACCAAATAACTAAATAACCAGAAATAACCAAATGTTGTCCAGTTTGGGCTTGGTATTTGGCACAGACTTGAGATGTCAGTGCTGTGGTTAGCTGTGCTAGAGCAACAAACACAACTGCATCTCTCTTTCTCCACTGAGCAATGAGGTCTGTATCCCTCTTCAGAGGCATCTCTCTCTCCTTGGCTCCTGATGGAGGGAGCCAAAGGCAACAAGCTTCCTAGCCCTGACACCTCTGATATGTGTGAAGATGGATGGGTTGAATGCAGACCTAAAATATTTTACATTTTCACGGTAGTTTCACAGCCCTGGCATTATCAAATGATCTTTCAAAGTACTTGGAAGCAGGATGAGAAGAACTTGAGATAGGTTCTGGCTTTTTTGTGTCTGTGTACTTGCAAACTGTCTCTGCCTACACATCTTGCAGGGCCTGTTCCTGTTTGGAGATGCACACGGAAAATTAGTGCTCGTGTGGATGCTCTGTCTGCTCCATTTCCCCCCTGCAGTTTGGAGGCTGTTCAAAGCCAGTCCCCATCCATGGGTGCTTAAGATCAGACTTGCCCTATGTGCTGCACTCCACTGACCAGCCTAGTTAGGAACTCGAGGCTAGGAAACACAAAACAATTTTAAAATCTGAACAAAAGTAGGAGATTAAGGAAACCAGCTGGAAACCTCTGTTTTGCTGATTTTGAAAGCAAAATGTGGGTCACATATGTGCTTCTACAGACAGAAACTGGCTGGAGAAGAAAAAGACATCAGCATTGCCCAGACTCTTTGATGATCAGAGGTAGATTTAGCTCCTAGGCATAGAGACAAGAAAGGAAGAGGAGACTAAGTTGGAATAAAAACATAATCAAGATATTAGGAATGTGGAACGCAACCCACCCGTAAATTTGCCTCAGGGAACTACAAAAAAATGCAGTAAAAATAAAAAAAAGAAGAATCCAATTGCTACATCTTAACTCTCTTCCGTTGTCTTGCCTTCCTTATGGTTTTGCTTTTTGCAGTCCAAGACACAGGGGGTCCATTATAGAACCTTCCCTCTTCCTCGACCATGTTTTTTCTTTGTAAAAGTGCTGTTTTCTACTGCTCCTTTGCAGCAGCTACGAAACCCTCGCTAAGGACTGGCTGACTTCAGAGCCCAAAAGAAACAAAGCTTTGCAGGAAATCCATACTTGTCTGCATGTATCAGAGGCTAGAAAGCAATGTGCTCTGGTCCATCTGGCTCCAGAAGGGAGCTAAGACTCACTTCTTGTTTAGTCTAACACAAAAGATTAAACTTATTTTCAGTGCAATTGATGACAGAGTGGTAAGAGCCATGCTGCCGACCCTTGCAGGCTGTTGATTAGCCTGTGACTTGGTCTCCCAGGGGCTGCAACAGAAGGCCTGTTGTTCCAGCCATTTAAAAAAAACTCAAGGTAAAGCACTGAAAGAACAATTAAAGACAACAGCAGCACTGACTCAGAGAAGCTCAGGTGGTGCTTCCCTAGAAATAGCCAAGCAGCAGGGGGAGGTTCTGAAAAGAATTCAGGGCATTTGGTGGGTGGTTTCTGGGGTGAAGGGAAGTGCCTGGAGCACTCCTGAAGGTCTCACCTGTGCTGGCCACAACATGACCTGGTCACTTGGTGCCTTCAGGCTTTGTGGCATGTGCTGAGCAGTCATGGAGCACAATCTCCAACTCCTGCAGGAAACTTCCCTCCTGCCAGCAAAATGCCAGTCCCTAAGGCTTAACACCAAGAGAAGCCTGAAATGAAATGCTACTGCAGTTCACTGCCTGTCGCTGTTTTTCAGACTTTGGAGAACTTAGAATTCAGTTCTTTTCTGGAATTTATTTTTCTCAGCCCTAATGAAAACACATTTTGTAGTTGTTAGTGTTTTAAATTGAGTATCAGTGTCAATGAAGACAAGCCTTTTCCCAGGGTGGGAAAAAATATAAAACTGTCTCAAATCTTCCACTCATGCAAAAGTAAACAACCCTAAAGCACTGAAGAATTAAATAAAATATATGCCTCTTTTCACTGGGAGTCCACTGGGCGTGAATAAGTGCCATGTGAGGCTCTCACTTGCACCACCATCTCCTGTGATGGCACCAGGGCCTAGAGGTGCAGAAGGATGTATTTTGGTGCCCTGCCATGTGACAACATCTTTGTTCCCAGTGGTGGAGCCACCAGAGGCTCCTGAACACCAGCAGGGCTGTAAATGAGATGGGCTTTGTTATCCCCAGCTTCTCCACCAGCCTAGCCCAGAGAAAAAAGGTGTCCAGCCACCACAACTCACAGCTAAGGAGAGAGGCATCACAGCCCCTCCCTGGCACAGAGGGCCATCCATCCTCATCTGGATGCAAGAGATTTTGTCAGAGACACCAGAATTCATTTGGCTGGGCTGCAACCCCTAGATTGCAATTGCTGTGAATACTACAGCACAGAGCCTCTTCAGTTGATGTCTAGAAACTGCTTGTGGTTTCAGAGCTCTTGCTGATGAATTGCACAGCAGCTGGTCATATTGGGAGGGCTCTGCTTATTATTTTCAACTGCTATCTTGCATGGAAGGAAAATCAAAATACTTTCCTCAAGGTAATTGGCTCTAAAACAATTGCAGGTTTTTCCACAAAGCTGTAATGCAATTAGGACTGGCATTTTAGATAATTTATATCTCTAAAGGTATGTTTATGCCATCATACCCTTATTTTGTAAAAAAAAAAAAATTAAAAAAAAGGAAAAAAGAAAAAGCTGCTGGCAAGAGAAACCTTATTTTGCTATTACAGGCAATGAAATACAGATTAAACCATCATCCACCTAGTACTGATTAAAAGGCAGCAGAATGCCAGGATCATCTCTGAGGTGTGATCATGGTTGGGTAGGATGTTGTGTCACCAACCACACATCTGCAGGTTTCCCATTCAGTTTTCCATCAATGCCAAATGATGTGCCATCACTTGCCTTCTGCTGCAGCAGCTCAAGAGCTGCTCTCCCCAGCTGCCCTGCCAGCTTGGATGGCAGCAGCTGGTGCAGCTGGGAGCACCAGGCCCACCACACAGAACAAAACCAGCAGCCACACCAGTGCCTGGATTGTGCTTTTGATATCCAGGAACACCCCAAGCAGAGATGCCAAACAATCCAAACACAATAACAGCTCCAGAAGTTCATGAAACAGCTGATGAACTTGTTGATATGGGATATTGTGACAGCCAAAAGCATGGACATAGCATTGCCCAACACCATTGAGAAGCTTCTGCTTCCCTGATTGGCAAAAGGTCCAAGGGTACAGCTGGGGAAATGAATGCTCTCTGCATGCCTGGTCCTTGTGTTTATACATAACCACCTTTGGCTGACTCTTGCCCAAGATACAGTCCAGGGCCAGGGGCATTTTGCCTGACTGTAACAGGTGCTGTGATTGAAATTATGGGATGAAATCCTTTAGTCTCCTAAAGGTTGAAGCGAATATATTGGATCAATTATCATTACAAATAGGTCTGAACTGAAACTAGGGACACGGAACATCTCTTCAGAGCCACAGCAGGCATTTATGGGTGGATGTCCTGTCCTCATGGCAGTATGAACCAAAGGCATGGATTCAGACAATCCCCATTGAATGACATCTGGATGTGGTCCCCAATGGTAGAGAAGCCACTGACTGTATTACAAGAGTAACTCAATACCCCTGGAAAAGTAAAGATGTCCCTTACCCTTGGTTGTAATCCAGCTGACCTATCAGCACACTGTACAACTACAGAAGGGCCAGTGGGAAAGAAAAGCAAACAGAGGAAAGAAAAGCAAACCCAAGAGCTGCACTGCTGTGCAAAGCAGGTGATCACACCCTTCTGTTCTCAATCAGACAGACAAAGGAGCCATCTGCTGTGCCCACAGGTTGATCTGCCTATATTCACTAGATCCATGTTTACAAAAACCTACCTTGAGACATTTGGGAGCAGTTTGGGAACCTGGCCCCTTGGGGTCACAGACCTGACCCCAGACTGGCCAAGAGGGGACATGAATGTCCTGCCTGATCCTCTGTGCTTTGCAGTGGCCTGTGACACAACACACATCCCAAACTATAAACAGAGACACGTTCAGTTCCACTGCTATGAGGTCATTCACTTCAGTCAAAACTTGAACAAATCCAAATGCAGCTTCTTAACATGCAAGGCTATGGCCAGGGATACTCACTATTGGGCTGAGTCGTTAAGTTGATATTCCCGGGACCGGTTGAAGCATTCTTGGATCCCAGAGTCTGCCCAGAGCCTCATCATAGCTGACAGCAGCTCTGGAGAGAAGGGCTCTGTGTCCTCCATCCGACTTACGACATCGCAGACCATCTTGGCATCAGCCTGCAGAGGAAAGAAACAAGAGCTCACAGAGATGCTTAGGCAGAATTTGGAGCCAGAGATTTCAGAAACAGTTCACTAAAACATCAGGAGTAAAAAGGCCTTGTTTCTCAGGATGGGGCTTTAGCATCCACACTGTGTGATCCAGCTGAAAGGGCAAAAGGAGGATGGAGGAAGGAAATCACAAGGAAAAAGATTGTGCAATCCACCTCATATCAACAAGTACTTCTATTCAACAGACAAAGCAGTCTGCACTGCATGTGGAATTTCATAAGAACAGATGGGAATTTATACATGTACAAGGATATTTAAAATTGTTAGCAACAATGCCTTGCTTTAACTGAAAGTGGAAACTTGCTGAAGTGGGGGCTTTGTATCAGAAAGAACTAGAAAGACTCCAGAAACACTTTTTTTTTCCAGATGCTGTTTTTTTGCTTTTCCTAAATTCTTGTTCTCTGCTATGACCCCCTGCTAGGAGGGCTAATTCATGCTAATGCAGACCACCTTGGCTGGCCGTGGTGCTCTGTGACTCAGAGGGAGAGGAATCTCCCACGGCTACAGAGCATGGCAGTGAGGTCAGGGCCAGCTGGCCATTTTCAGATGGAATCTTTTTTGGTGAGAAAAAATGAGATTCATAGGGACAGCAATGTTTCCTGGAGGATAGTGCTCTGACACAACTTGGGTCTGGAAGATGTCTCAGATTTAGGATGGGAATGTCTAGACAGCCTTGGAATAGCTGAGTTCAGCCTTCCTGTAATAGTCCATGGTGGCTGATGCTTCACTCATTTGTGAAGAAGGACACCCAGATTCATGACTATGCTTGCTTTGCAAGAAGTAAACTCCCACAGCACCCACAGACTCCTGAAACCCTTGGGATGTTGACTAATCTGTAGAGTTTTTCTTTCATTGCTTTGAAAATCTTATATTGCTACTAGCTGAAACAAACCCAATTATTATTACTATAATTAATTGGAAAAGAGGAGCTCTTGTTCCTTGTGTGTGTGCAGCAAGCTTGTGAAGACAACCTTCTTGTTTTACTATCTGGTGTCTTGTGTGCTAGACTGAACCCATTCTTGGCTAAATGTAGGTGGAAATCTTTGCCTTCCAGGGTGTTTGATCTAAGCCAGCAAGTGCACACCAGAAACAAGTGCAGGCTCTGCTCATACTTTGCTGGGGACAATTAGAAGTGACATCATTGAGGAGCACCACAATAATCTTACTGTATAGATGGAAATGACAAGTGTGTGGCAGGGTCTGTATGGTGAGGATCAAAACTCTGTAACCTCTTTACTGAACACAGAAACTGTAGAGAAATTGCAGGGCACCAAACTGAAAGCACTGGAGACTGAAGCTGCTGGAGATTTCAGTGCTCAATGAAAGAGCCTCAGGTGCCCTGAACATCCAGCCTTTATGGGCTGAAGAAGTCTCAGTACTGTATGTCTCAGTATTGTATCCCATAAAACTTAATGGGGTGGACTCTATGCTTTGAAGGCTTTATGAACATAAAATCTTCCTCACAGAGCACTTAACTTCATATTTTAGTGCCCAGGAATCTTCCCAGCCCTCTGTACAGACTCTGCTCATTTTGGCGAAAAAGTATTGGTGACTCACACCTCAAAGCCAAGAGAAACTAAGAACCTTGAAGAGTTCAGTTAATTTCAAAAGCTTGTTTTCTGCCCCGGAGTGCTTTGTGAGCTGAGTGAATATTCATAAATCATCTGTATGGTTTGCCTGCCCTGCTGGAGTGGCAGTTCTGCTCTTTTCACAGACTCTAAATGACATAAAACCTGCTAATGGCTGCGGTCTGCCTTGGCTCCAGTATTTGTGTATGTGTGATGCAGGAAAAGCATCCATGCCTCCAGTCAGGTAGAAGAATGTCTTTGTATGTTATCTTGACTGCTGGAGGGGGTTATAGGTAAAGTCACAGATCTGTCCATCTGTCTGCAATGGCAAAGCACATTTGAAGCTCTCCAGCTGTCACGGGCATGGTCTGGGCTTCTTCTGAGTTTTGTGGATTTAACTGCAGGCTGCTCTTTGCAAAACATCAGAGGCAATGGCACAGTCATCATGTTTTCTGTGCTGGGAAATAGCTGCATCACCTTTTCAACTACTGAGACTTGCGGCAGTTCCCTGTAAGACCCATCACAGGGAGGTTTTGAGCAGAAGACAGAGATGAAAAGCAATGACAAGGCAGAATGGGAGTGACCAGGCACAGACATTTCTGGCTGTGGTTATCTGTGAGCCTGTTGGGCCAGAAGTGGGGCTGAGCACGTAGGGCAGGGGATTATTTTGGTATGTGATCCTCTGCAGTAACTGGAAGTCCCTTTTGGGGACAGGAGAGGCTCTCCTCCCACAGCACGGACACCTGCCTGCAGGGCAGACAGAGGCAGCAGGCTGAAACAGGGGAAGAACTAGAAGGAAAGTTTATTGCTTCTGCTGAACAGTAGTAACCATATTCCAGACTTAGTTTTATTTTGCAGAGTGAACCACTGAGCTCTTGGTTTTACAGATGCAGAAAAAGCAGGTGCAATGAGTATTTTTAAAACGTCCCCCTGCCAAGGTTGAAGTCCCTCTGTCAAGGAGCATGGTGCTATCCAGGAGTTCAGCCATTTGTTAGATGATTTAACGAGCAATTAAGGATCCATGAAGAGAAGATACCCCTTTCTTTTCTCACTCTCCAGGCTGTGTCTCAAGCTGGGAATGACATTAAAATCTCCAACTCCCCCTGGGCCCAGCAGGTAGATTTTAAATACTGCCTGATTGACTTTTCCCTGCCTGCCTCCCCTGGGTCTGCTGCTCCTGCTTTTCCCGAGGTGAGAGGAGCCGAGCCTCCTGCCACGCTGTACTTCAGCCAGCAATTAAATAAAGCAAAACAAAACAGGCAAACCAGCCCCCCACTCCCCTGCCTTGCAGTTCCCATCCGACAGGGCTGCTGTTAATGAACATCACGGTGGCATTTCAGCTACCTCGGGAGCTAAAAATAGGCAGTGCTTGGCCCCTGGGATTGCTGGAAGGAGCTACAAAATGGTGCAGAGCTCATTCCACCACTGCTGCCTCTGCCATTCCCAGCTGCTCTGTCTTCTGTCTCCTTGGAACAAGACATCTGGGAGGAGGGTAAGAGGTCAGGCTGGTCTCCATGCTGGTTCTTACCCAGCACGAGCATCCTAGCCTATCTCTGCAGCATTCTGACACGTCCTGCTGCCACTCCCCAATGGCTTTTGTTTTCCACAGCAGGTGAAACCCTAACACCTGAGCTGAATGCCTTTGGGCAGTTCATTACGGAGAGTGGCATTTGACACTTTGTGTCATTCCTGAATGCTGATTCCATCCACCTACAGAGGGACAATTAAAGCTGGCTGGGCATGGCCTGGGGAGACAGCTGAGCTTAGAGACTGTGGTAAAGTGAAATTATACATCCAGGCTTTAGACATCAAGCTAAGACACCAAATAAGTCTTTACTAAAGAACAGACCTGCACTCTGGCTGGGGAACGGAGAGGGCTCTGTAGGGCCAGGGCAGGGTCTGAAATCCACAGGCAGATGTGGACAAGAAGCTTGTAAACCCAGTGGGAAGTTGGCATGTGTCACTCCTAACCCCAGGTTGTGGGCTACCTGTGCACCACACTTCTGGTATAAATGCTGTTCAAAAGGGGATCTGTTCTCTCCCTAACCTGGATATAACTGCAGTTATTTAATTGTCTCCCATATGTCACTGTCACCAAGCTCACAGCCTGTGCTCAGCATACAAACCTGTGACTTGCAACAGCCACACAGCCCCATTAATGTGTTACCTGGCTGGAAGGGAGAGGGGCCCCTCCCTGCAGTCTGACACTACTGGCAGTTGCCTTTGTCTCTGCAAGCAAGTTATGTTCCATCACCCTGACACAGACCACCCCTAATTACTTGTTCCTCACCACCCCCCATGACAGGTGCCCATGAAGATACCAGCAGGGCTGCACTATGAAGGTACCAGCAAAGCTGCTGCTGCTCTGGCTGCTGTGGAGTCAGACTGGAGTAGGACCTAGGTCCCCATCTCTGTCTATCCTAGGGCAAATCCAAGCTCTGATCCTTTGAAGTTGCCTGGACACTGACTAGGAAACTTTTTATTTTATTTTTTTTATCTAAAAGGAATAGTTTTCTGAAAGGGAATTTTAAGGGAGAGGCAAAACCTTGTGTGAAGCTGTGTGGTACAAATCTGCTAAACCTTACAGAGCTGTGCTGTGTTACAGCCAATGAAGGTATGAGCTGGTGTGCCACACTGTACAGTCCTTTCCTTTTGGTGAACTAAATCCCAGTAAATATCAATTTTTTGCTATTATTTGCTCTGATTAATGATACTTGTCACTTAGCCTGTCTCAAAGGTTAATCTTGAGGCAATTTTGTCTGGTGGCTGGTTGTACCAGGAGCTGCTTCTCTGAACATTTCAGAAAATCCATGCAGTGGGGGAAAAGATAAGCACTATAAGCACTTCGGTTTGGCTGGTGGTACAGTACAGTACCAATCATCAGCAAGCAATCTCGTGAAAATAGTAGTGGCCATCATGAGTCATGAACCTGGGGATAATCAAACTGATGTCTAGAGACCATCCAGCATCCAAAAAGGACATCCTTGGAAGGGAACCCTTGTGGGGAACCAGATCCTGACCTCAGGGCACTGCAGCATGTGCCTCTGCTACTCCAGTGAGAAATTATGTCCTGTAACTTTGTGGCAGAATGTGTCTCATAAACTGAAAACCTCCCCCTTCTCCTTACAGACTGTCTCAGAAATATGGACCCCACTTCCAGACAAAGAGTGGTTGCATTGCAGCAAAACCCAGTGATTTTCACAGCATTTCAGCCTGAATAAATCCTGGAAACAAAGCATGGCTGGTGAATATGTCTTTTCCAGAGACCTCCAGGGCCCAGCTCCAAGTCCATAGAAGTTTTTGTAGACACTGAGTAAATAGCTACATGTATGACTCTCCCCCTCACGCTCCCTCTCTTTCTCACACATCTGTGTTTCTGAG